ATAATATTTTCGTTCTATTGATGGTAAATTATTATTTATATTAAGAGATTTTACAAAATTTTGTTTAACGCCCTTACTTTTTCCATTCGTTATAATATCATCCTCAAATGCATTACTTAAAGGAAATGCGAGTGTTGTACAGTCAACAGCATATCAGGTTATACAAATCTGTAAAATTTCTCCACTTGATTTTAAATGTAATGCTTTGAGAGTAGAGTTTAGAATCAACTGCAGACATTTGACATGTTATAGTAACCTGACGTTCTGCACGTGTGCTAGGTACACGTATTGTATAGTATACACCTATTTTATATAACTTGTTGCCTTTTCAGGCTTTAAAAAAAACCTTAAATATTGTTATTGTTGGATAGCTCACTCTAATTTGTTCAATTTATGAGTTATCTGTTTGTTAATAAAATTTGTCTCTTATTATATAGAGACATTTTTTCGGCTCAGGATATAGTTCAATTTGTTGCATACAATTAATTTTGTATTAAAATTGTTAAATTTCATAATCTCCCTTTTATTTCTGACACTATGTTATTTAGCATAAAATAATCCTTATAGAGTAAGATCCCAGAGCGATCTGACATAGCTTATTTTTAAAAGCATAGAACTTTCGATTCAATGTAGTCTCTACATGTACTTTTAATACCTGCGTACTTGTAGAGTTTGCTCGGTGACACCCATGCAATAGTGCTCTTCTATGCTTTTAAAAATAAGTTATGTCAAATCGCTCTGGGATCTTGAACTATAATGATAAAGCCTTTCAATCGGTATGATAAAGCTACAGGGTAATTTTATTTCTCGTGTAGCGGGTTCGATTCCCGGTTGAACAATGTTATTATTAAAAATCTATAACTGCAGTTTAAATTGTTTTTTAAAATAAAATAATGTCTTATTTTAGTAAAATGTTCCATCTACAATATTTAAGGTATTTTCTCTTCATGTAGCATAGTCGTGGGACGCCCTGTATATATATATATAGGACAGACAAAAGAAGTGACACCAATTAAATGATAATATTCGTAAAATATTAATTCAACAAACATTTCATGAGCTGATAATTGTTTTGTTTAAAGTCGGTTTTGCTAACAGCAATCTCACTCTCCAAAGCTAGCATTTTATGGTGTTATTTGTACAATCAATAGTATCGACATATATCGAAAGAGTTTCAGAATAAGAATTAAGCAGTTGATTTTCGTAATTAGATCTAGTCGTAGTATCCTTTCATTCTCTTTTTTATTTTATTTTTTATAAGTAGTTATTGATGTGGGAAAATATATTTTAAATAATATTTGAGTAGTTGAGTTATTCAATAGATAAAACTACCTACAGTCAATATTTTTGAAAGACCAATTTATATAATCTATATAACTCCTGGAAAAAAATCAATAGTTTAATAGAACTAAGTATTCTATAGTATTCTATATAAGTATAAGTATTCTATAGTAGAAAAGTTTTAATGGAATTAACATTTCCATTATGTAAAACTCAATTTTGTTAATACTATGTAAAAGCTAGTTCCATGCTAGTCATTGTATGAAGACTAATTATGAGTGTTTCGACATAAGGGGGGGCATTGTACAGTTATCAGTAGGTAGGTACCTACTTATCTATCTATAGGTAATGAAGATAGCTGTAGAAATGAGGTCAGACACAGCTTTAGCGATAACTCTTGATAATAAGTAAATTTTCAAACCCTGCGCAGTTCAGGTCGAGATAGGAGGATTTCCTTTTTTTGTCTGTATTATTGTAGATAACATTATAATGATCATTAATTTCTTTTCAATATTTAAGTGTTAAGTCTTTTGACCGGAGGGCGACCGCAGGCGAGAAAATAATTATACAAATTAAATTTATATAAAATTTATAATATTTATATATTAATAAAGGGGTTAATATATTTTTATTAAGTCGTGTGTGTTTAAAATTGAATATACAAATTTTTATATGTTCTATGGTGGGTTTCGATTTATATGATATTAATTTGTTGTTGATTGTACAAAAATAATGTAAGGCATTTCAGTAAAATATGTTATCCCTTACTTAAAAGGTAACATGTCCTTTACTTTAAAGTTACCCTATTATAAGTTTAGTACAAATGATATATATGATATGATATGAAATATTCAATATATAACTTCATTAAAAAATACTAACCTTTCACCAGCGGCTTCGCCCGCGTGGTTTAGTTTTAAGTCCGGAAATGAGAAAATGCTATAAAAACCTTCATCCCCTAATTTACACCCTTAGGGGTCGAATTTCGTAAAACATCGTTTTAGTGAGCGCCTACGTCCTAAATAGAATCCGCATGCAAAATTTGAAACTCCTAGCACTTGTAGTAACGAAGTTTCATACAAACTTTCATCCCCTAATTTACCCCCTTAGGAGTTAAATTTCATAAAATCTCGTCTTAGTGAGCACCTTTGTCTTAAAAAGAACCCGCATGTTAAATTTGAAACTCCTAGCACCCGTAGTTTCTGAGATTTCGTGATGAGTGAGTTGTAGTAGAACGATGCAGATTATTTTAAATTTGTGCAATAGTATAATAGTATTTGATTATGCGACACCAGGTTAAGAAGTAAGTCATAAAAATAATGTAATAACAACGCCTGTATGTAGGGCACAGGGCCAACAATTGTTTGTCCAACCGACCCCGATGTTGTCAATATATACGATCGAACGCGTGCTCGGAGGAATTGGGGTAATTCCTATACATATACAATAAGTAGCAATGAAATGATGAGTAAAAAACATGAAATTCTATAATTAAGATCTATTTTTAATCCTATCAATCGTTCTGTTAAGTATTTCCAAAGGTTCTTTGAACCTGGAAATTCATAGGAGATAGTGGTAATAAGAGCTGAAAACGATAGAGATTGCAGGAAACGGAAAGGTGAATCTATATAAATATAAGATGTAAAGTTTCCAACAATAAACATATTGTTAGGGGTCAGATTTTACCTACGGAAAGCTTCATCATACGCGGGTGACATAGGCTATAATTTACGAAGTCGATGTCGCGGGAGAACAGCCAATCTTATAATAAATTCTTAATAAAGCTATGTTCTAGGTATATATATAACATAAATGTCATGTTTAAAGTGTCAAATGAATAAAAATTTTACGCTAAAAGTAATTCACAACAAATCATTAGCTCTGCACGTTCCACTGTCTGAGCTCGGTAATGCGAAAAGAGTGGGGGTCAAGGTTCAGTTCCCAATAAAGTGTTGGAAAGAAAAAAGTTCTTAGTCGTCGTTAGTCACCGGAAAGACAATTGTTTACAGAAGCATTTTAAGAAATTACTTTTTGGCACATTTTTGTTATGGATAACGTTGAGAAATGTTTCATAGTCAACTTGACAAGGTTACTATATTGTATGATAAATTGTGTGATAAAATAACAATTATTTAGTCATACATGTTGATATGACATCAAAAGAAAAAAACATTGTATGTGTCAGAGACTTGTTATACAAATCTTAATAGGTTTTATGATAGCCTTTTTTATATGTACGGTTTTTATGTACATATAAAAGATTATTAGCTTATTATATGAAAATATGGAAACAAAAAAGTAAGCAAGCCACGTTATACGTCCTTCGCATAAGTTTCCAGGTCAAATATTTTTGAAATGTCGATTTATACTCTGCATAAAATAACACTCAGTATTGGCATTTATTATAACTTCTGATAACATAAAGAACTGTATAATCATTTGACGCTTAGTTGAGCGAGAAGAAGCTTAAGAATAGAAATGACCGTTAATGCCCTTGAACTTAACGTCCGGATACAGCTGGTGTGAGACGTAATATTAGGAACGATAAAGTAATGGAGTACTAAGAATTGCTGACTAGAAATCTAAACATTTGCAAATAGTTTCTTACTAGGTCTTTATATGTAATGGTTCTTTCGAGTACTAACGAAAAAATCGAAATACATTCAAGTATATTTTATACCTGGACTTCAATCTTTTAGAATAATGTCGTATTTGGATACGAAGATTTTGTAGAGGATTATTTCAACTCGGTTTTGAGGCTACGTAAATTGATGTTGTAGATTATGTGAAATAAAATTAATGCCGCTTTCTGCTTTTCAAAGTCACACATCTGCTAAAATAATATTTTCAAATAACTTAAAATATCGTAAGACTACAATTACTTAAACTCTTTGAAAGAATAAAAGATTAGAACAAATATGTTAAAAAGGATATTTTATTATTATGTGATTTTAAGTGTTAATTAAAACTAGCTTTTCAAATAATGAACAAAAATATAGAGCTTTAATTAAGCATATAATCGCATATCAAAGCATGAGTGTAGCAAGAGGTAGATATATCCCTCTTTCGTCTATTTTGAAATATTTCTGTAATTATACCGATTTGAAGTCTTTGCTGTTACTAATTGTTACAAAGATAAATTAATAATTTACCTTTAATTTATAAATATAGTTTTGTTGTCAAACATATATATTAAAAGTGGACTGGGATAAGAAAGTTAGAATGTACAAAGCAGTTTTTATTCCTGGAACGGAAATGTCCATTTATGTCCTCCTTGATCCTTGAACTTTGTGGCCGGGAGCCCGCTGTGGAGGGTGATGACGTCACAGGATCGCAACGTCTGGCAGAATCATAATAGATTCGAAATAATAATTAACATACAACCCAATACTATTATGTGTGCTGTTCTTTCACTTTTTGTATAATTCAACTAAGCGATGTTTAAGTTACTTATATTACGAAGATTTTATCAGTTATCAAGTTAATCACTTTCGTGATAAGATACAACCGAGTGTTTAAGCTCTATAGGTGTTTAAGTACTTTAATAAATACGTTGAATAATCCAAAAACAAGCACCAAAAAGTTATAACACTCGTATAATGCTTCATCTATTTGTCGACTGTCTGATAGGAAAAAAAATACAGCTTAATATTCTATGTATTAATAAATAAATAAAGTGTTTTTATTTTCTTTACATTCGCAATAACTTAAACACTGACCTGTATTTGCAGAAGTCTGGAACCGTTGGATTTCTCCATTTCTTACAATTTGCACTTTATTTTTAGGGAAAAACTATGGAAGACCAATTGTAACTTATATATAAAAAATAAAATCTACTTCCAACTTTTAATATTAAAAAGTCCTCAGAAACTCAGTAAAGTAAATAGATACGTGTGATTTTATTAAATTTCTCAAACACATAACGTTCACAAAATTTGACACAAAAACATGACCGTTTTGAAGTTTGAACGTCAAAGCGAAGCTCCCGCGGTGAATTCAAATTTCGAGCACACGTTTTATAACAGCGTCGCGATATTTTAAAACTTTTATTGTTTGTGTTGAAGAGGGATTATTATATATTTTTTTAATATTTTGATGCGGAGATTTATCGTACCGATTAAACAAGTCAGCGGTCGCCAAGCGACTCTGCTGTTGTGCGGCGGTCGTGTTAAATCAACACGGGATGGCGCGACTAGCTCGCATGACTGTGAGCTGAGTAATCGCAGACTGCTTGCACCTACACGCTTTGCGAGGTTCCACAGCCGACGTCACTTGATAACAGCTGTATTTTCCACCATAACCAATGAGCTTTAGAGTAGATTTTTGCTAAATTTATTTTTAAACAATTTGCAATCAGTGTTTTATGCAATGTGCTAAAGTTAAAAGTAAAAGCGCTCTACAGTCTGAATTTGCAAGACTTCTTCAACTGACATTTCAAGCTGGTTTGGTAAACGTGTTGATATATTATATATCTTGTAAAAGTTTTTAAATATAATTTGTTGTTTTATAACTTGCAGTGATAGCAGAAAGAAGTAATAGACAACAAATAAGTGAAGAAATCATAAAGCTTTTTCGTAAGTTTTTAAGTCGTTTGTCTTCAAACGTGTAACTGTGATTTTATTTTTTTATGTTTTTTCATGCATGTAAGTTTCACATTCATGACATATGACTCAATTGTTTACGGGTTTAATATTTTTAGTTACTCCCAAAGTGAGCCCAAAAATAAATTGAATTACTTCTTAACTTTAACTAGAATTTAACGATATTAATTTTGTACTCGTAATTTTTTTCGTGATACTTTACAAATAATAATCGTAATGATTTCGTGTAAGGAATGAAAACTGCTTAGCATAGGCCTTCTCAGGGCAATACATTCTACACTGGCTTCATCCATCAGGAATGCGACCGCGTAACTCTAGCCTTGATTCTAGCTTTAGACATGTGTTTTGTTCTTTTTTTGGTGGATAAACGAGTAAGTTGGTTACATTGCTGCCAGTCCATTATCATCTTCCTTTTATGTTTCGTTCGCTTGTTATTAAAATAGATATCTAAGAAGTAAAATGAAACGAGAGTATCGATAAAACATCGCGACATAAAGTCGGAATCTACGGCTAAAATCATGGTTGGAGTTAGGCAGTCGCATCGCAGATCTTATGTGTTGTTCTTTGACACTGCATCTGAACGATCTTTCAAGCTTCCTTCGAGCAATAAAAGAACTAAAAGAATCTCTTACTGTTCTAAATCGATCACGTAGAGATACACCAAATAGCGCTCTATCCAATGCCCACTAGACGACCTTGGATGTTCTTATAAGACTTTCGGTCAGTTGCACAAACGTCCATTAAAACTGTCATCAGCTTAAAGCGACATTACCCATACAAATTTGACATTCATTAGATCTTAAAGGTGTCATTAAACCTTAACGGACGTTTGTGCAACTAACCTTTTAATACCAGATTTAAATCTTCTCGATTTGACGTTTTCTTTTTTCTGTCATTGTCAATTTGCTTCAGGCTGCCAAAATGTTATAAGCCAAGTACCAACTTTAGTACTTACTTATTTTATAGTAAGTTGGATAGTGAATTATTTAGTATCTGATACGTACTTTGATAGATACATTTGTGTGACAATTAAAATATTTTAAGAAATTACCTCTATAAGTGTACGTGTGTGTGATATTTCGTTGTTTCATATTTCCACAATACAATTGCTTTAACTACTTGAGATCTGAGTCCTTGTCTTGTCCATTAACAATTCAGTATATATATTGCTCGATACAGCCTAATGAATCCTCTGACCATATTACTGCAACTACTCTTATAAAAATTACTGAAGATATTTTTATTCGTCTTGCGATAGAAACGACTTTCTGACAGTACTAACGTTATTGGACTTCAGCAATGCATTTAATACGGTCGATTTCGATGTTCTTTTTGCCTTGCTGACTTACTTAATATATCCCCGACGTTAATTGATTGGTTTTACAGTTATCTGTATGGGTGCAGGCAAACGGTCCGCCTTAATGAGAAATTTCTCTTCATGATACTACACGAAAGCTGGCGTATCCCAAGGTGGCGTATTAACTCTATTTGTGTTCGCAATCTTTATTAATTCTATTTCTCATACTTTTTCGTGTCTCTATCCCCTTCATGCAGACGATCTCCTAATTTACTGTAAAGCACCGCTGTCTAGATTAATAAGGCAATAGTAAACGTTAGTAAATAGTTAGTACTTTTACCTCAAAGTCATTGCAGAATGAATTTGGTCTAAGTGTCATTCCTGTTAAAACCCAAACCATGATATAGATAGTTCTAGACTGCTTTCCAGAATTGATATATAGGTGCTTCCGAAAGTTGTTTCTGAAGGGGTTAACATTTCTTTTAGTCAAACGGTAAAAAATTAGGGGGAGGTAATGGAGGGCCATCTAAGTTGGGTTCACAATTTCAATCTATCAGTCGCAAGTAATATGCTTCTGCCGCTTCATTGAGAAGACTGCGTAACTTCTTGCCCACTACCACTAAGGTTGAGTTAGCGCCCTGCGGCGGTCTTGTTGTTTCCCCGCTACCAGGCGCGTCACCCGGGTGGTGGATGGGGGTAGGGCTTCGGCCACCGTGGACCGTCCGGCCATTTCTGCCGTGCATAATGAAACTATACAGAGGAGTCCGTCAGGCGTCCCGGACTTATTCCGGGTAGCGGCTGACGGGCATGGAGGTGGTGGGTTCGGCCCCCTCTTCGGAGGAGGGCCGTGTTGGCCCTTGTTAGGGCCGTCGAGTGAATAGGGGGGTGGCAAGGCCTTCCTGGTCACGAATGGGGAGTTCCCTCTTTGAGGAGTCTCGTTTTTGGAGAGGGCCCCGGGCCGGCGCCCCGTCGGTAAGGCGGGAAGCGGCAGCGCGGTTCGGGTTAGGCGGGCGTCCCGGGGGTAACATGGGCAGCGGTCGTGCCAACGAGGGCGGTGGGCCTGTCGTGTCGTGGTGCCACGAGCGGCGAGCGTTCTTTTCAGGGCAACCACCGGCCGACCCATACCTCTGCGGTGAGCGGAGACGGAGGGCTACCCTTTGTTGGGTGACTCTAGGAACGTAACCTCGATAAAAAATCCACCAATCCTGTGGATCGGAGGATGAGTGGCAATAGGTAGTATTGTCATTACCCGGCCTCTGGAGATGGGTACCGGCCGACCCCCATCTTCACAACCCTAGGCTTACTCGGGCATGGAGCCCCTGCCCGGGCGGACTTGAGGAACTACCACTCTCGTGGGAACAATTATGGAGACATTTAATAAAAACTTTAAAACTTCGATTGAGAGAGGGCCTAGCTCAGGCGTAAGCGAGCAAATGGAAGTAGTTGAGGAGAACTTTGAGACGGACAGCTTCGAGGAGGACGAACTCGATAGAGCATTTTACGTTAAGGCTTATGAAGAGGTAGAGATGATGAGGAGAAAGTGCCGGACTATCGGCACTAAGTCTCAGAAGTTTGCTGAAGAATTTCTCCGGACGAGCAGGGAGAAATTTGAGAGACTCTTAAAGGAGGGTACGTTAAAGTCGGCTTGTGAGGAGGGACTGCTGTGTAGGAAGACGCTTTGCGACAGACTGGTGAAGCTTTCCAGTTTCGTGGGAGGTCAGGTGGAGATTAACTTTGAGGTGACGGGCGATGTTTTGTCGAGGCTACTGAAGAGTAAGCGATTGCTGGAGGGATAAGTTGAGATTTTGAGAGGTGAGGCAGAGAATCTCAAAGATGAGATAAGTGGGCTTAAAGTGTTAAATTGTGCAGAAGCTGTCACCTCCTCACAAGGTAGGGAGGGAAAAAAAGGGGGGAGTAAAGGAGAGGAATATAGGGGTCAGTGAGACTCCCGCGCCAGTCATGGCGCTGAAACCACCTCCCAACCACAAAAAGAGGGGGAGGCACAAAACGAGGGCCTCCAACATCTCTGCGGTGGTTGTCACCATCACCCCTGAGGCGGAGTCTAAGGGGGTGACTGATGAAGAGGTGCTCACTAGGGCAAGAAGAGGTATTGCCCTCTCGGATCTAGGCATTACGGGAGGAGTCGACATGGGGGTGACAGCTGCCGGCGCCAGAATCATGAAGGTACCTGGGCCCGACAGTGGTAAACAGGCGAGTCTTCTCGCCTTTAAGTTGACGGAGTTGTTCAGCGACTCAATCGTAGTATAGACGCCGACTAAGAGGTTCGAAATTAGAGTGACCGAGCTTGACGATTCGGTTACCTCGGACGATCACAGAGCATAGAGCATAGTTGGCGAGGCAGGGTAACTGCCCCCCTCAGCAAATAGTGGTGGGGCCGATCAGCAGAGGCAACGATGGGCTTAACATAGCCCTTCTGAAGTGCCCTGTAGCGGCGGCCAAAGCTCTCGCCAAGAGTGGACGGCTGTTGGTCGGGTGGACCTCCGCCTGGATTCGACGACCGGACGAGGGTGTGCCCCTCCAAGGAGGATCGCTCTGGAGTTTGCTTCAGATGCGGCCTCGAGGGGCACAAGGCGGTGTGTTGCTGCAAGGAGGCTCGCTGCGCCGTTTGCGCGGCGGCGTCTCTGCCGAGCGGACACGGGATGGGGAGCAAGAGGTGCTCCCCACCTTCCGTACGGGCATGGTCGGTTCCCGTGCCCCGTGGGTACCGGCTGAGGACCTCCCTGAGGTGATGAACACGCACTAGCGCGTCTGTCTCTCGTGGGGGGGGGGGGGACAGCTGGAGCGGCTAGCAGCTGACTGGTTCCCTGGCAGGGTTGCGTCTGTCAGGTGCGCTTGTGTCGCTGCTAGTGAGAGGTACATGGGGAGGTACATGGCGAGGGGATTTCCTCTGTGGCTCTGGTCTTGGGTGCCCGGTTCGGCCGCCATAAACACCACTTTGGTGTGTGTGACGGCCGGGCCGGGCGGTACCATTACTTGGTCCCTCCCAATGGATGGGTAGGGGACTGGAGATTGCACAGTCGCGCATCTCTAGTCTCTAGTCGGGGGCAGCTGGCCGGTTTGCGAGCTGGTCGGCATTGCACGTCTCCGCCCTGTCTGGGGGGGAGGCCACTTCTTGAATGTCTCTGAGACGTGCCCCCCAACCCGCGAGGGACCTGCCCTTTTAAGGGCGGGCCGAAATGGGGGCGAACCGCGCGGTGTATGGCCTTCGGGCCGATCCCGTGCATCGCCGTCCATGCG